CACTTGGCCTTATTGAACCTCATCCTGTTGGTCTCAGCCCATCCATCCAGCCTGTCGAGATCCCTCTGCAGAGCCTCTCTACCCTCCAGCAGATCAACACTCCCACCCAATTTGGTGTCATCTGCAAATTTGCTGAGGGTGCACTCGATCCCCTCGTCCAGATCATTGATAAAGATGTTGAAGAGAACCGGCCCCAGTACTGAGCCCTGTGGGACACCACTCGTGACCGGTCGCCAACTGGACTTCGCTCCATTTACCACCACTCTCTGGGCTCGGCCCTCCAGCCAGTTTTTAACCCAGCGGAGAGTATACCCATCTAAGCCATGAGCACCGAGTTTCTCCAGAAGAATCCTGTGGGACACTGTATCAAAGGCCTTGCTAAAGTCTAGGTAAATAACATCCACAGTCTTTCCTTCATCCACCAAGTGAGTCACTTTGTCATAGAAGGAGATCAGGTTTGTCAAGCAGGACCTGCCCCTCGTGAACCCGTGCTGGCTGGGCCTCATCACCTGGGTGTCCTTCATGCGTTGCATGATGACACTCAGGATGATCTGTTCCATGACCTTCCCAGGCACCGAGGTCAGGCTGACAGGCCTGTAGTTCCCTGGATCATCCTTCCGACCCTTCTTGTGGATGGGCGTCACTATAGCAAAGCGCCAATCGGCTGGGACCTCCCCAGTTTGCCACGACTGTTGGTAGAGGATGGAAAGTGGCTCTGCAAGCACTTCTGACAGTTCCCTCAGAACCCTTGGGTGAATCCCATCTGGGCCCATAGACTTGTTTATGTCAAGGTTTTGGAGCAAGTCCCTCACCATCTCCCTTAGAATTTTGGGGGCTTCATCCTGCTCCCCACCCCTAACTGCTATTTCAGGGGTCTGGGCACTTGGGGGACACCCTAGTCCACTGCTAAAGACTGAGGCAAAGAAGGCATTTAGTACCTCAGCCTTCTCCTCATCCTTTGTCACTATGTTACCTTCCATATCGAGGAGAGAGTGGAGGTTCTCCCGAGTCCTCCTCTTGCTATTAATATATTTATAGAAATTCTTTTTATTATTTTTAACATCCAGGGCCAGGTTTAGTTCTAGCTGAGCTCTGGCTTTTCTAATCTTTTCCCTGCATAACTTTGCTACTTCTTTGTAATCTTCCTGAGTAGCCTGTCCCTTTTTCCAAAGGACATAAACTTTCCTTTTTTCCCTGAGCTGTGATCTTATTTCTTTGTTCAGCCAGGCCGGTCTCTTCCCTCGACAGCTCGCTTTCCTGCGTTCAGGGATGGCCTGCGCCTGTGCTTTTAAGACTTCCTCCTTAAAAAGTGTCCAGCCTTCCTGGACTCCTTTGCCCTTCAGGGCTGCCTCCCAAGGGACTCTGTCAAGCAGACTCTTGAAGAGACCAAAGTCTGCCCTCCGGAAGTCCATGACGGCAGTCCTGCTGCCTCCCTTTCTTGCTTCCCTGAGGATCCGAAACTCTATCATTTCATGGTCACTGCACCCGAGACGGCCTCTAACCATTACATCCTCCACAAGTTCCTCTCTGTTTACAAACAGCAGGTCTAGCAGTGCTCCTCCCCTAGTTGGCTCACTCACCAGCTGTGTCAAGAAGTTATCCCCGACACACTCCAGAAACCTCCTAGACTGTTCCCTCTCAGCTGTATGGAGTGTCCAGCTGATATCTGGTAGGTTGAAGTCACCCACCAGGACAAGTCCAAGTGATCTCGAGACCTCTGCTAGTTGTTTATACAACATTTCATCTACCTCTGCATCCTGGTTGGGTGGTCTGTAATAGACTCCCACCATAATATCAGCCTTGCTGGTCCTCCCCTTGATTCGTACCCATAGACACTCAACTCTACTATTACCCTCATTTACCTCCACACATTCGTATGCATTATGTCCTAGAAGAATGTATAATAAGCGGAAGAAAATTTGCAGATATATTCGTCTGCAGTGTACTTTCAGTCAAGAAAATATAAACCCGAACACCATAAACAATATATATTCTAGATGGATATATATGTAGAGAAGCCTTTTACCTTCTAAAAGTGTCTTTTTTTCAAGGAGATCCAACAAGGTGCAGGAGCTCAAGATTACTTTTTCTTTGACATGTGGTGGAAAAAATAAAAGCCATCACTACAAGGAACTGAGTATTTTTGCTGAATTCACTTGCTGAAAGAGAACATGACTGAATTAATGGCTCTTACCTAACCAAGAAATCTTAGAGGGAGAAAAGACTGGTCACTCTTTCGCGAGGCAAGGTATATTCAGGCAATAAATGTAGCTCCATGACAGCTTTGCTGTACTGATAGCCACCTCAAGAGTACTATTACCCCTTTCTAAGGCTAAAGTCTCAGTAACATATCAAATACTTCTGGGAGGAAGAAGGAGAGGTGTTATCACAGTGTACAAAGCATCAAAGGTAAGACACTAGGAGAGCAGGAATTTGTTAGGTCACACACACTCAACTTGCAAGACCTTTTCCTTGCTAAACCTTGTGGGCTTTGGAAAGCTTAAATTGCTCTGTAGTTCTGGATGAAGAAAGTTGGAGTGAATCTTCTTTGTTCTGTGCCACTCAGCACTTGGGTAGCTAGTGGCTTTCCCAACTCCCTTTGATTGTAAACGATTATTTTGATGTTCCTATTACTTTCCACCCAAAGTAATTACAGACAGTGGCATACTGTTGTTGAGAGCTGAATGCTACCTAAAAGACCCAAGATTAGGTGACGGGTTTGAAGTATTGTCACCCATAATGGAGGGAATGGTCCTTTCCACCTCATTTGCATTGTAGGTAAAAAAAAATATATTCAACTGTGATTAACTTGTTAATGGTAAATTAGCCATCTCTTCTCTGTGTAATTCAACATAGTTCTTCTATAAAATGAGACTTGAGATCTCACTCTGAAGAAAAATACATCCTTTGGTTGACAGTGTCATGTAGATCAAATAAAGTGTTCTTCTAACTCCTGTATTTTTCAGGTGATAACCAGTGCACAATGAGGTCTGTGAGTAACAACTGCTACATACCACAACACAGGTACAAATCACTTAGCTGTGTCAAGAGGCAAAAGGGGAAGTGAATATTGATGAAACATTCCCAGAACTGCTCTTAAACAAAGAAGAATTGATTTGGCTCCCAGTTACAATGCTCTAGTGGCATGCTCTAGGGGCTGACATTGTAGGGTTTTTTTGTGTGTGTATGGCTGGACTCAGTGGTCTCAGAGGTCCTTTCCAACCATGACGATTCTGTGATTCTGTGTCTGACAGGAATGAAACTATTGAATTTGAGTCTTCAGCTATCCCAGAGGAACATGACAAAAGTCCTCCTGGCTCACAAGACTGTCCTCAAACAATTCGTTTTCTGTACATGCCTTTCAAGGCACCAGTTCTACTCAATAGAAATGCATGTCTCTTTTCAGACTGTCCTCAGCCCATCCC